AACGCAAATGACTGTTGATCTTCGTTAAAACGAAACAAAGCTTGGAAAATAAAATAAAAGTATTACATAAATTAAATAACAACAATTAACAATAACAATAATAGCATAACAATTTAATAACAATAATAAAAACAATTTAATTTACGAACAATAATTTAACATTTAATAGAAGACAATACCGTGGAGCCGTAGCCTGTCTAATCAGTCACATAGGTTACTAGAAGCGAGGAGTGCGGACGAATATACCGTGTCAATGTGCAGAAACAGCAAGAAACTATTATTCATGATGGCGACATCGGAAACTAGCAGTTTGTTAATAAATCCATAATAGGGATTTAAATTTTTTTCGCATATCCCTGCGAATCGAGGTAAATTCGTTAATGTTAGAACGGAATTTTGTTCTATTCGAAAAAGTGTTGCTGTTTTGTGCCCGTTAATTGCAGGTATTTAAATGCCATGGAACAATTATCCGCTCAAGTGTTCTTTACTATACTAGAAGCAAGGGAACGGTGCAACAACGCCATATGAATTTGGAAAATGACGGGCATGAATAGACAGCTTTATGCACGAAAATATATCGCTATAAGCATGATCACCACCGGGTTTACTCAGCATAGCCAAAATACTTAAAATCTTTATGAATTTAACGCAAATCAAAAGTACATACCTCACTAAGCCACTCGAAGCATTTCCAACAGCGGTATCCGCCTTTTCGTAGAATTGACCGTAGGTACTGGAACCACGATAAACTTTGTCATCGCCTTTTCCTTTCATGTTCTACAGCAGCAGAAAAATAACTGTGACTAGCAAGTAATAAAACTTATTTAATAACTAGGAGCGAGAACAATTACGGGTCAAACATATTTGGCATCTTGTTTAGAAAGTGACCAACAGCATTACCTTTTTATCACTATTATCGCCTGCCTACCACCATCGTTTTGTACGAGGCTCGGTAGTAAATGAAATGGATTGAAACATAGGGTAGTACGGTAAAACCGTGAAATGGTTTCTCTTTTTCAGCTCTTAAACTGCAGTGAATTACGTGCTATTTCGTCTATGTTTAAAAAATAAAAAGCAAAATATGAATAAAGTTTGTAGCCATACAAGAAGAAAATATAACTCCGATATTTTGGGGTAGACTCATCAGTGGAAGATCTCGATACCGCTGTTAATATATAATATTGAAATAAATAATCGGCTTTTAACGGCGAAAACGTACAGTATAAGACGGATGGAAATCTTACACCAGGTAGTACGCAGTGTTGCACCGACCCCCCTTGATTTTAATCGCCTAGAGGCGCAATTTAAGGAGGCTACGGCGACAAAGTATTTATGTATATATACATACAGAGAGGTAAGGAAACCGCCTATCCGAAAAGCATAATCAGTATTTCAGCGGTTACAAACTTTAATATTGAAATTGGTGATACCGGATTTTAACGGCGAAATATACATATATACACACTCGCGATATTTCCGCTGCAGATGTGGCTTCTTACCGACTGAGCTTCCTTGATTAAGCATGTCTTGGTTTAAGCAAGATTGGTACTATATCAGAACTATGAATATTTACATGTATTAAATGAAACTAATCGGCAATAGCTCAACCTATATTACAAATCATTGGGAAGAAAAGAACTAATAACATAACAACAGCGCGTAATCGCAAAATGAAGCATCGTGGAATGCACTTGCACTAGTGAAATGATAGCAGTGAAGGTTGGTCAGGAAGGCTGCAATGAGATGACATGAAAATTCAGGAACCTTACTTATTCGAAGTTCTTCCCTTTCTAAGTGCCAAGAAAGCGTATGAAAGTATCCGTGTTCTGAGCAGCAGGCGGCTGATTGACCGACTCTGCCAAAAATGTTCCAAGGTACTAAAGCCAAGCAGGCAAGACCGAGAGGCAATTAGTCTTGCAGGGACTGAATAACGCTGGCAGCAGTTTACCTTGATCAACGAATATTCCGACTGATAAGGGACAGGGAAACTTACAGTACTAAATGCAAGCGGCATTCATTCACATAACTCAGGAGGCTGAAGTTCAATAACAGCGATGGCATTCATGAAAGAAGGATCTGCTCTCAGTTACTAGCGTAATTCAATATTCCCCACAACTCTAACAATCAAGCCATCTAAGAAGAGGGATAGGGACGTTGGGCCAACCAGAAACTAGGACTGATTACCATGTGCCTGAAGGCATGAGTGATGCGAGAATTACTTCTGCTTGTATGGTCCATGGTTTTGCGGTCATTTGGGCTGCTGTCAATTTAAATTCGGCCCTTCTGAGAGGAAGAACCGGAGAACGTGAGAGAGTAGCTACTTTGTTCCACTCTGACAGTTTAGTGATGATCAGCAATCGCCACTGGCTTCCACGGAGAAAATCCCATCTGCTGAGCGACTGGGAAATATGAATCGACGTACTGTCAACTGTTGGTAATGCCAACTACTTAGGCGTAACAGATATATCACAGCCTTGTTAACCAACTGCAGTGAAGTTCAGAACAACCACGTTTACAAGAGAAAAAGAAAAAACACGTCATACTTCGCCATCTCATGAATCATTTACTCCGATCATTGTCCTCCTCACATATGATGAGAAAAAATGATAGATTTTAAGGAACCCGGATTTAAACATATATTTCTTTAAGGAAATGCACATGCTTATGAGCAGATGCAATTCAACCGAACATAAGCTTGAAAGTGCTTCAGAAGACGACATCAAAGTAAATACCTGAAATATGCTCCACAATCATCTCACCTTCTGTATGTTGTGGGCCCTTTCGAACTGCGCCTGAGCATCTTTATCAAACTCTGTTTCTGTCTCCAAAGTAGCCGTCGCACCCATATCAGAAGGTCCAGCGCGTTCCTGAAACTAAAACAGATTAATCAGAAGGTGTAATATTCTCCGGATTTACATTATGTACACCGTCTGCTTCCTCTCCTACCCCCGAACCGTTGCATAATAAAACGGTTCCCTAGGCTACAAGAAGTCAGAAGACGGAGCACTTACGTCGAGTAAATCCGGAGAATTGGCAGGAGGTTGTGATTCTTACCGACGGTATCGAAAACCAGGAGTTAGCTAGTAAAATGAGAAATCCGAAGGAGTAATATTAATAGATATTGTTAATATTAATAGATATTGAGAGACCTAAAAACTGAATTAATAGATATAATGTGACTGTAAGACTTAATATATACTATAACGCTAAGAAGATTATAAGCAGCGCGATA